GCAGAGAAGCATATTAACTTCTCAGGACTTCAAATCATTAAAGGAATATAATATGATTGTGGTTAAACTTAATAAATGATAAGGCATCATTATTAAAATTAAGTTCGATCACATAAATAAAATGGGAACCAAGAAACTTTATGAATGATGTTGACTCTAAATGATCACATAAAGAGAAAAGTTCGTGAACTACAAGTAAAGATGGCTGAGCACATACTTAAATAAATGGCTACAAAAACAAATGAATTCCAGTGGTCGAATATAATCACACGATAGACAAATATCTTCCTCCATTGCGAAATATTTTCTTGAGAACAGTCATAAGGTTAATACCAAGTCACCCTTTGTAGTTTTGTATAAAAGTTTTTAAGAGCATTTACTAAGGTGTAACCTAAATTGCTGAACAAACCGATGATCATTGTGGGGTTCTATCATAAAAATGGTCACATTTTAGTAGTCAATCAACTGTAAATATCTCAGTCTTAAATAGATCAGTCTAGATATGTAAAGCTTACTCGTACAGTCTCAGAGTGTGGAGCTTAATGACATAGGCTCGAATCCTGCAACAAACATAAGCTTCTTTGAGATTACAGATGCCCCCCAACTAACATGAAACTAGGATCGAACAGAGTTTTTAGCCAACTTCATCTAACCATCAAACAGTAAGTATTACTCAATTTATAAAATTTTCCTTTATCTTTTATCCAGTCTAATCACCGACAAATATTGATATCCTATTTTTATCATTGATTAGATTTTTTTTTTTGAGGGGGGGGAGGTTTCAAACATTTAAGCTTATTGATCGATGTTTGTTTATTTCTTTTTTTGTTCCACCAACCAAAAATCTTCTTTTTTTTCGTTTTCTTTATTACTATTTGTCAATATAAAATAAAACAAAACGAAAGAATAAAATCAAAGTAAAATTATTTATTCATTTTGTCAAATGATGATAAGATAGAACACGATAGAAAATGGTTGGTTGTTTGGTTGTTTTTCCTTTTTGTTGCCCGACGGTTGATCGGTTAGTAAATAAAAAGAAGTTACAAAATACTTTTATTACTTAAAAAAATGCTCTTTATTAAGGTGAGGCGGGGCGGGGGGAATTTGTTTCAATAATAATGATAACAACTTACAAGGTCATTTGTATCAAATCTATTCCATTGGTATTACAGTTGATTTTGTTTATCTTTTCATGAAAAAATAATCATAGAGTGATAAAACGTTAGAAGGTAGGATGAGTACATTATATTGGAGGTTAGGTAGGTTGTATTAGATGAATTGATGATTGGCACGAAAATGTACATAGACATATAAGATAAGCATTTAAGAGTAATTTTAAGAGTAATTTAAGAGTATTTTCATAGTTGAAATCATGAGTCAATTGAATTTAAACCACCATGGGAAACCTGGAAGGAGTGGACGACCCTTTCGTCCTATTGTGGAACTCCTCAGCAGTGCGCATCCATGATCCCACCTAGCGAGGACGAAACGACCGTCCAGTGACTCTAGGTTTTCCATGGTGGTCTAGCCTCAATTTGCTCATGATTTCAACTATGAAAATACTGAAATCTTCAGAAAACCTCTTGTGATTTAAGAGTTGTATTGGACGAACTGCTGATCGGTACGAAAACGTATCAGATAAGTATTCAAGAATAAATCAAATACTTGCACTACATTCAAAATCGTTTCGTTTATTTCTAAATTATATTTATACAAGAATGTTAAATGGAATTTCGTACAGTAACTTGATGGCTCATCAGGAACATGGCTGACGTTTTGATTGTTACACAATATGAAACTATACTATTCAAGTTGTAAAGAGGCTAGCTGAGATTTCGTATCTTTGAAAAGCGGCTATGTTAAATTACTATAGTGTAGAGTAGTGGCTAGCAGAGGCAATACGCACAGTATGCACATATGTCAATAAGAGACTGACCAATTTCAGTCCTAATTATCAATGGGAAGATTGAAACAAGTAATACTAAGGGAATTTAAACTCCACCCCATTGCACAAGAAAGTGGCTATCAGAACTCAGTAGCGAATGGTATTGGGTTCGAGTTCCAGAGTGAACATCAACTTTGAGATGCAGGTACATCCGGTTGACGAGTCCTAAATAGGACGAAACACACGTTGTGGAATTCAATGCTAACCACTATCCATCTTTGCATTATATTAATGGTATAAATATTCATTGTTTAATAAGTGGGCGAGCTCAAGTTTCAATTTACATCTTTTTGTCTACAAAATACTTTGAAATGAATAAATCTTCAATTTAAAACTTTCCCCTGTATTTTAATTCATTTCAACTGTATTGTAAAAAGTTTAAAAAAAAAGCGGCTTACATTTATTGTTTACTTATATATTGAACATATTGTATACTTAAGAGATATTTATTTATTTTTGTTTGTTTAATATCATATTTATTTTCCTATGTTTTGTTTAATGATGATTATTAAGAAAATAGTATTCATGTAATTCGGATATAGATTTATCGAAATAATTTAAATGTTCCCGCTAAATGTTCATTAGTTTCTATTACTAATGGTAATATAAGGTAACAGAAAAAAATACAAAAAAAAAAAAAACTAAAATTAATTTTTCTTAAATGATAAATATTTTAACTTTTACATAAAATCTAACGAGATGTATTAAATAATAAATGGATATCGGAATTTTTAGTAAAGAAAATACACTTTACATTGGTACTTACTTCATTAATGTAATAAAGAATGAATAGGGCAAATTTCATATTCCTTAATAATACGATGAATCACATACTTTCTTTAGTTACTTTTATTTATTTCGAATCAATTTTAAATGATACTTCAAAGAAACAAAAAAAAATTACAACCAAAACGATAGAAAAAAAAAACAACAGGAAATAGAACTATGTTAGTGATTATCTAGAATAGTAATAAACACTTTTTATTTTCTTTTAAATGATAACTTTTCTATAATACTTACTTACTTACTTTCGCCTGTTACTCCCAATGGAGCATAGGCCGCCGACCAGCTTTCTCCAACCCACTCTGTCCTGGGCCTTCTTTTCTAGTTCTTTCCAGTTCTTGTTCATTCTTCTCATGTCTGTCTCTCGTGTCTCTCTCGTAATGTGTTCTTTGGTCTTCCTCTTCTCCTTCGACCTTCAGGATTCCATGTGAGGGCTTGTCTTGTGACACAATTGGGTGATTTCCTCACTTCCAGCGTTTCTTCCTGATTTCTTCCTCCGCTGGAATCTGGTTTGTTCTCTCCCACAGTAACTTGTTGCTGATAGTGTCTGGCCATCGGACCCGAAGTATCTTGCGTAGACAGCTGTTAATAAACACTTGTATCTTCTGGATAATGGCTTTCATAGTTCTCCACGTCTCTGCCCCATACAGAAGAACTGTCTTGACATTTGTATTGAAAATTCTAACCTTGGTGTTGGTTGACAATTGTTTTGAGCTCCAGATGTTTTTCAGCTGTAGGTATGCTGCTCTTGCTTTGCCGATCCTCGCCCTCACATCTGCATCTGATCCACCGTGTTCATCAAATATGCTGCCCAGATATGTAAAGATTTCCACATCCTCCAAAGCTTCTCCGTCAAGTGTAATTGGATTGGTGCATATTGTATTGTATCGGAGAGTCTTGCTTTTCCCTTTGTTTATATTGAGACCTACTGCTGCTGGGGCTGCTGCTACACTGGTCGTTTTCTCCTGCATTTGTTGTTGCGTTTGTGATAGAAGAGCCAGATCATCCGCGAAGTCTAAATCGTCAAGCTGCATCCTGCCTGTCCACTGTATCCCGTGCATTCCTCTTTTCTATAATGGAAGTAGTTATTTTATTGATGAAAATATTAACAATAAAAAAAACAACAATAAAACTTCTTAAGTAAAGATGGATGATGGCTAGCAGTGAAATCCAGTTTGATTTGCGTTTCGTTCTATTTTTGAGATTCATCAACTAGATGTAATTACATCTCAGTGTTGATGTTCACTCTAAGACTTGAACACAAAACTTTTCACTTCAAATGTTATCACGTTATCCACTCAGCTACTGAGTTCATCTTTGTTTATAATGCTTGTGAATTTAGGTTATATCGAAGCAATATGCACAGTATGCACATATGCCAATAAGAGAGAGGCTGATCGATTGCAGTCGTAAACATCAATGAGAAAATTCAACCAAGTAATATTAAATGAATTTAAATTTCACCCCATTGCACAAGCAAGAGGCTATCAGGATTCGGTAGTTGAGTGAATAACGCTATGTCGTTTGTAACGAAAGACACTGGGTTCGAGTCTCACAGTGAACATCAACCTCGAGATACGGGTACATCCATCTGACGAGTTTCAAATAGGACGAAGCGCGTGTCCTGGATTACACTGCTAGTCACTATCCATCTCTGCTTATCATGCTTGTGTATCAAGGCTATTTCGAGGCAATACGCACAGTATGCACAAATTGGCAATAAGAGACTGATCCATTGCAGTCCTAAACATCAATGGAAAGATTCAAACAAATAATACTAAGTGAATTTATATCAACTATTTGTTTTATTTTCAAAGTTCATTATCCTTTTTTTTCGCCAATTTTCTATTGCCAGAAAAGACAAAAAAAGTTTTTTAAACTAATTTAAAATAGTAATTTCTATTTCTATCCATGTTAACTAATCGATTTAAACTCTATTTTATGATGTAATCACTTTAATCTATAATAGCCGGATCAGATTTGATCGATTGATCCTTGATTTTTGTTTTCATTTTAAATGATTATAATTAATACACTAATAGCTTTGCTTTGTTTTTTTAAAAATGAAAATACCTCTTAATCTATACTGTTTAAAATTGTTTCATAAAAGAAAAATAGTGTATACTAATGACTGATATCTTGGCATTGATCAATGTGCTATTTACTCAATTTTCTATTAGTGTTGATCGTACTACATCGATCAAGTTCAAATGTGGTTATTTATTTTAGTGGCTTAAAATCATGTGTATTATATTGAGATATCAAGGGGATTGTGGGTAGTAAAGAATAAATCCTGAACCTAGGTTTTATGCAAATTAGAAAGTGATCCTTGGTACCTGGAAATAAAGTTGTTGTTTGTAAACTCGAATCCTGACAATTTAGTAAATGGTACATATAACGTAAAGATTATGGAAAATCCTTTTGAATAGTACTACGAACAGTATATTTCTTATTTCTGCTATTATCAATAGCTTTATTCAATATTATATTTTTGGTACAATAGAGAATTCTTAACGCAACGTATTTCAACAAGTTTCCGTTTCGCAATTGTTGGTCGATCCTGACAATAAATATTAAGTGATCGCCAGTTAGAAATTAGCAGTCCAGTTAATCGACAACTATATAATTTGCATTCTTTTCGTTGCATATTGCCAGTAACCACAATATCGTTGATTGGGTCTTTTGTAACTTGTAGAACAAAAAGGTTGTACACTTTTCAAAAACGCACTTGAATAGGTAATAAGACTAATAGGCATAATTATGTGTTAAAACAAATAATATTAAATAACTTGTTGAAATATCTAGATGGCAGGATCAGGTAACCTTGATGTTTAAGCAGACCGCCAAGGTCAATACAGACATCAGAATTTATGGAAGACTGAAACGTTTTCTTTTTTAGTAAAGATAGCTAGTTACAGAAGAGAGTAGCATGAAGACTTAAACTAAATGAATTACTATTTTCATTCACATGCTCTGTTAGTTGTGGTGGAAAAAAAGAACCTTTGACTGGGAAAATTATTTGATCCACCATAAGAGTTCACAAGGGTGAAAACTATAATGATAAAAAAACGTTTACACCTACTTTGGGAATAGATTACAGAACTGTGAGAAAAGAAAAACACTTACAACAGGCTTCGTATGATTCATAGTCCGCTGATGAAGTTTGACTATAGTCTATCTTTATTGAAAACCAATAAAAATTAAAATCGCATGCAAATTTGTGTTCTGATTTTGTTACTTACTTACTTACTTACTTAAGCCTGTTATTGCGCGTGTAGGAGCATAGGCCGCCCACCAGTATTCTCCGTCCAACTCTGTCCTGGGCAATTCCCCTGGGTGGACAAGCCGTGTCCGCCAACCCGGTTAAAGCACCGGACATTCGCTTTTCGTCCTCTCAATTTCGTAAACAACATCCCCGTCACGACATTGCAGTGAGTGGGACTTCTCTGGCAGAGGCTATATACACGTGGCCATGTGAGAGCATTTGGAGAGGGAGAGTGGACTCTTCTAATTCTCGGCCGTACCAGGGGATTCGGAGGCGTAGGTACGTTTAAATAGTGTTCATCTGTATTTATTGATTAGGAAATAAAAGCGTTTGAATTTCAATTCAGTAGTCTGAAGAGAACACATTTACCTCTAGATAACAAGGTTTCGGGTTCGAATTATGACTACACAATGACTGTTTAGTGTTGAGAAGTCCCATACCATGAATGAATAGTTTTCTAATACTCTGTGGTTGCGATAGGTCCACAAACGACATCAATTCGTTACAAAAACCATCTTTGCGTTTATCACAGTTAAAAGTAATTCCAGTTTATCTGTAGATATTATAAGTAAGTTTACATTATTGTAACTTACTTTCAATAGAAACATACTTTTCATAATCAAAATTAATTCTAACCGGTAGTATTTGTTGTGTCCCGATAACAATAGTGAATGATCACTTTGGCATCCATTTATGGACCAGTATTATACATATTTTTTTGTCTTATAATTGCTAAACAACTAAACTATTCATATTCATGTCCCTCTTATTATAAGCTTTATTTTGACGTATAGAGTATTATTGTATAAATTACCATTCTTGAGTTATCCCTAGTCTATTAATTGCTGCCTCACACATTCACAGCTACATTTGACTAAATCCTGTACAAACGTTATTTCCTATTTTATTGGTACGATATGGTCAATCTGTTTGGTATATAAACTCAGTATGTTTGAAATACAAGGATTCATATCACAGAGATTGTTATTGGTGTTCTGTACTTAACTGTCTAGGGCTAAGCAGAAAGCAGGACCGATACGTACTCTGGACTGTTCGTATGGTTTTCATGTGTCACTGTTCCAATCCATAATTCACTGTTCTCTGATTGGTGGTTTTTTCACGTCATACGTTAGCAAGGTATCCACTTGGCCACAAAATATAACAGTATTATATTACATTCAGAATGGAAAACAACATACAATAAATTTAATTCACTATTTGTTTTTGTTTTTTATTTTCAGTTACTACGGCAATTAAAATGTACAAAGTTAAATTTTAAATGACACCTATTTTATTTTATTTTTTTATTTTTTTAAAAAAAAAACAACAAAACAAAACAACAAGCATCTGATTATTGGAAATAATAAAATAATCAACTTGTTATGAGAGGAATAGAGAGAGAAGGAAAAAAGTAAAATCTAAACGATCTTATCACATACTCTTTCTAATATTATGAAATTGAATAAAAGAAAAAAAAAAGAGAAAAAGAGAAAAAAACAATAATAGATAGATAAAATCAATCGAATGAATAGAACAGAAAAAAAAGAAATTTACAACAATAAATTACATTTAATATAATTAGTAATAGTACGTAGGTAGGTAGGTAGGTGAGTGGGTGGGTGGATACAAATGGAATTCAAATATTTTACCTACCAGATATTTAATCTTTATGTGATTTTTTTTTTCAAAAAAAAACCCAACGAATTCAATCGGTTACTAAATGAAAATAAACTGAAATTTTGTTATGATTCAATATTATTGATATACTTTCATTTTTTTTGTAAGCAAATTTCAATGTATGGAGAGTATTCTTCTTAAGATATCGTTATATTGTTATAATAATAATACTGTATGAAAAACAAGCATAATTTAAAACTTTATAGTTGAAATCATGAATCAATTGAAGCTAGACAACTATAGAAAACCTGGAAGCACTGGATGGCCGTTTCATCCTATTGTGGGACTCCTCAGCAGTGCGCATCCACGATCCCGCTTCGCGAGATTCCAACCCAGGTTTCTGAACTTCATGGATTGGTTGAAGTTATACATTAACACAGTTGAATGCCGGCCGGCTTAGTGGTCTAGTGGTTAAGCGATCGCAGGCGAGACTGAGACGTCCTGCATTCAAAACTCACTAGACGGAATCGTGAATGTTCACTGCTGAGTAGTCCCACCAAAGGACGATTTGACCTTCCAGTGCTTCCAGGTTTTCCATAGTTGTCTAGCTTCAACTGATTTATAATCTCAATTGTTAAAATTTACTATAATATCCACAAAAACCCGTTCTAATAATAATTTAAAATGTTTACTTAAAAATAAAATAATAGTAGAGTTATTTTGATCCACATTACTTTGATGTTGGATAATAATATAACTGAATATAAGAATAGTATCTGAATTATCATCCAATTCTTGTTTATTCAAATAGTAAATATGTTAATTGTATGATTTGTTTTAAATCGTCATTAAATGAATAAGAAATTTCAAACAGCCAATATGTCTTTTATGTTCACGATGAAATAGTAAATTATGCTACATGTGATTTGTGAAGAAATTTTCATGAAACGATTGAATTAATTTTAATTCAAACTTCTAATTGATATAAACAATGAATGGATAGTGGATAGTAGTGGAATCCAATTTGACGCGCGTTTCATCCTATTTAGGACTCGTCAGCTGGATGTACACCTGCATCTTGGAGTTGATGTTCACTCTGAGACTTAAACTCAGCAATTTTCTCTTCAAACACCATCGCATTATCCACTCGGCCACTGAGTCCTGATAGTCGCTTGCTTGTGCAATAGGGTTGAAGTTTGTGAATTAAAGCTCTATCGAGGCAATACGCACAGTATACACATATGCCAATAAGACACTAATTAATTGTAGCCCTAAACATGAATTGGGAAGATTCAACCAAACAATATCAAATGAATTCTACTTGATATATTTGGATAAGTAGTAATTATGACTTAAATAGTATCGTTGATAAACAAGGAGGATCGGATGCAGATGTAAAGGCAAGGATTGGCAAAGCAAGGGCAGCATTTCTACAATTGCAGAACATATGGAACTCAAAACAACTCTCAACCAATTTCAAAGTCAGAATCTTTAATACGAACGTCAAGACAGTCCTACTGTATGGAGCTGAAACGTGGAGAACTACTACAGCCATCATCAGGAAGGTACAAGTATTTATAAACAGTTGTCTACGCAAAATACTTAACATCCATTGGCCGGATACTATCAGCAACAGCGTTTTATGGGAGAGAACAAACCAGCTTCCAGCTGAAGAGGAAATAAGGAAAAGACGTTGGAAGTGGATCGGACATACATTAAGGAAATCACCAATGTGCATCACGACTCAATCCCTAACTTGGAATCCGGAAGGGAAGCGGAAAAGAGGAAGGCCAAAGAACACACTACGCCGGGAAATAGAAGCCGATATGAAAAGGCTGAATAGTAACTGGAAAGAACTGGAAAGGAAGGCTCAGGACAGAGTTGGATGGAGAATGCTGGTGAGCGGCCTATGCTCCTCGACGAGGGGTAACAGGCGTAAGTAAGTAAGTAAGTAAGTAATGACTTAAATAATTTAAAGTTAATAACTTTGACTGTAAGATAGATTGAGAAACATATGAATTGAGTAAAATCCATTAGTTCTTTTGAAGGTATCAATATTCTTTGTGTATGAATAAATCATATCTACTTAGAAATTGTTAATTAACTATTAATATACTTTTGATTATATTTATTCAATAATTTTATATATCATTTTAATTATAGTTATCAAATGTATTTAATGATAAATAAATAACTTTCATAAGAATCTATTCAAATTTTAATTGTCAACTGTATCATTTAAATAAGGGAATATATATAGTTTTCTTATAATTACTAGAAGGGTTAATTCTTTTCATTCTTTTTTTTCTTTTTGTATGATGCAAACAAAGTGTTCTATTCACAATTTATTAAATAAGAAATGTTATTGTATATTAGTTCTTCCTACTATTCTTATTCATACTATATCATTTTATAATAGTTTATACTTATATATATAAGAAAACAATCATCAGAGAATGAATCAAATCTCTCTCCATATATATAACAATAAGGTATGAATTGTTTTCAGTTCACTATTATCAGTTACATGTTCTATCCTAATAATAATAATAATAATAATAATAAAGAGTAAAGAGTTTTCCATTTTGCTGTGATACATATTTCTTACATTTTTTTTCCCCTATATCTATCTATTGAAGGTCAGTTTGAGGTTAATTTATTATTTATGATTGAAAATAGTTGTTTATCTGAGGAAAACATTTAGCGGTAGAGTGATTTTTTTTTATTTACCAAGTAGCTCATTTTATATAATAAAAAAAGAGAGAAAATTGAAAGATTCAAACAAACAATACTAAGTGAATTTAAAACTTCATCTCATTGAACAAGAAAGTGGCTATCAGGACTCACTAATTGAATGAATAACGCGCTGGCGTTTAAGGTGAAAGGTAATTGGTTTGAGTCCCAGAGTAAACATCAACAAGTCTGAGATGCAGGAACATCCAGTTGATGAGTCTCAAATAGGACGAAACGCGCGTCAAACTGTATTCCACTGCTAGCCACTATACATCTTTGCTTATCATGCTTGTGAATTAAGGCTATATCGAGGGCAATACGTACAATATGCACATATACCAGTTACAGACTGACCAGTTGCAGTCCTAAAACATCAATGGGAAGATTCAAATAAAACAATACTAAGTGAATTTAATGAATAAATATAATAAAATAGTGTTGAAAGAGAGAGAAATATATTTAGAGGAAGACTATCAGAACTAATTTCTGAAAATAATTCGGATAATCTTCGTTTTCTTATAACACTATGGAAATTTATCATAGGGACTAATTGTTTTAATTTTAAAATATGTATATAATTAGAAGAGAGAATATAAACGAGTTAAAGATAAATCAACATAAGATAATGATTGAAACTGTATATTCTTCTTATATAAGAAAATTATATTTGAAATAATCTCAACAATTGAAATTTACATAAATCATTCCAACGTTTCGTCCCTCAAATTTGTCTGGTCTTCTTCAGGTTAATAATCAAAATGTTTTTTAACATTCATATCAAAATCTATACTACGTTAAACTAATCATATTTGGATATTGAATTTTTTTTTTTTTTGTAAATAGGATAATATGAGTTAGTTAAATGAGAATCCAATAAAAAGTTCAATGATATTAAATAAAATAAAAGAAGATTGAAGGAATTGTGTGTG